AAAATTGAACGGTTCCTTATCTACCAGTCTTAGAGGTGAATTCACGAAACATTGCAGGCACCAAATCAAGAAAAAAACTAAAGGGCGTTTAGTGCGCGCTGCGGGGTGTGTGGTCATCTTTCTCGCTACAACAGACCATCATTCCCTAGATAAAGATAATATGACTATTTGTTTAAGTTGCATTCATATTTATGTGTCTTCTCGCGCGCAACCGTTTAACGAAGAAATGATACTCTCTGGAATTGCATGCGGAATTGCAATGGAAAAAGCATTACTCCCAAGCCACAAAGGTCGTCTCTGATGTTTGGTTTGTCTTAGTTCTTCCAGGCCATCACGTTTGGAATCGTCTTTACTGCGCCATTGTCTCAGAAAACRTGAAGGTTATAGCAGAACTGTTACCAAACAACAAAATAGAGAAAGACAATACCAGAACATTGAAGCAGCCCACTGAAGACACAGGAACCAACGAAGGCTGGCAGCATAATGATAAAAAGTTGGACGAAATAGAAAAGGTTACACACTCTATTCAAGATGTCAAATTAATCCATGGATCARGGAATTCAGAAGAACAAAAAGTTGATGCTCATGAGGTGCTAAATGAACGATGGGGCGAAGAAGGAAGTACTCTTCTTCATGTTGCCGCCAAATCAACACAGACACAGATTATTAACATTCTGATGCGGAATGGAGCTGATCCTGGTGTTAAGTAAGACTAAGTAAACTATAAAGAACTGTTAAATCGACGCCAACCTGTCCTGCTCTAGAATACGTGTCTTTTACTTGAGCATTTTTTTTTTTTTTCCATCACTTTTGCTTGAGACTCGATTAAATGTATTATCAAAATATACCAAGTTGTCTGTAGTGGGGAAAACATTGCACTTTGACCACACCTTTCTCCCTCTCCTCCATTCGATTTTCCCGTCCCATTATTTTTGAGCCACAAATAATTCTAAAGAAAAGTGTTTTCAGTTCTGGACTAGCCGTTCGTATATTACGATTATTTTTTATTTTTTATTTTTGCAGAGACGACCGAGGAAGGACTGCATACGATAGAGCCAAAAGCAAAGAGGCCAGAGACGAATTTCGACGATTTATGGCAGATTTTCCAGATGCATTTGACTACACAAACTCACACGTAGGTGATAATGCTGAGGAGGGCACTAGATTTCCGATTCGCCAAGAAGCGTTATCTGTTCATGCTTGTCARATTATGATTATCTTTCGTTAGAGAGCATTGTTATAACATCGGGCATTGGATATTTTTCCTGCTTTATTTACAGATCCCAAGTCCATTAACACMAGAGATGAAAGAAGAGAAGGAGAGAAAAGAAGCAGAGAAAAAGAAAGCTCAAAAGAAAGCTAAAAAGCAAAGAATTAAGGTAAGTAAATTTTTGCATAAAYGGTCATCTTTGTTTGAGAAAGCATTTTTATCTTGGACTATACAGGAGGTTTTCGATATTCTACGAACTTAAGGCCCTGGGGCTGAGCGAGGAAACATTTTTCCAGAAACATGTTTACCGCGCGCATGYTTCCTCGATGTTTCCCAGTTTAGCCACAAGACGCCAAAAATGTTTTGGCTGTGCGGCAGAAACATTTCATGTTTCCAAGACGCATAGAAACATTGTTTCCCGATGTTTCCTGACAGTTTTGCCACCTTAGGAAACATTTAGGGAAACATGTGGAATCAAAATTTGTTGCACGCAGCAATGTTTCGCATGTGGCTAAACTGGGAAACATCGAGAAAACATGCGCGCGGTAAACATGTTTCTGGGAACATGTTTCCTCATTTAGCCAGGGCCTAATAGTTATTGCGAGCTGCACRCTTAAATTTTTTTCGTGTAGTAAAAAAACAATTACACAACAAGCCGTTGAAATTTAGGAGTTCTCARGATATCGAAACCCCAGTAATGGAAAACTTCATTCACAAAAAGCAAATGAAAAACTGGGTCTTCTGCTCAATGTCATCAAATTTGCYGTCTTCTTTCGGGTTTTTTTCCTGGTAGACGCGTGTACYATTTTTATCRTTTTCCAGAAGTCTAACTCGTCAGAAGTCAGAACTCGGTAGACGCGTTTTCCATTTACTGAAAGTGCTATTTCCCTCCCTTTTTTTGGTAGATTATGTAATTAAAGACGAAGGATCTCCTCACGTTTATTATTATCCTTTACATACAGGAACAGAAAGCAGCGGAACAAAAGAAACAAGAGGAAGAAGAAGAAAGAAAGAAAAATGAAGTGATGAGTGAGAGGGAAAAGGTAAAAATTGCTGTCACCTCAAAAGCTTYCCATGGGAAGGGTGATTGTAAAACCAGCAATGTGTGACAGTGTGTTATACTCTCGTCTTTCTTTCTTACAGAGAGCTCTGGCTGCGGAACGAAGATTTGCCAAACAACGATTAAAAACGAGCGGAGGCTCATCGGGAAGGTAACTACCCCTCATTCTYCTTTTTCGCATACCCATAATACTTTGCGGCCTTGGGGGTAACCAGAAGAAAAAACCGCACTTATTTTGCTGAAGGCTGATAAGACCATGTTGAAAATACCCCGTTTGATATTCACCATAAAATGAAACAGTAAAAAAAAAAAAAGAAATAGAAACTTAAAGTAAATTTTAAAAATTTTTTCGTAAGTCAATACATTTACTGTAACACCAAACCTCTTGATATTCTGAATGCTCAGAATTAACTTATACTCAGCTGATAATCAGTATCTTACAGATAAGACCAGGTTCAGTGTATATTCGATTGAAGAACGTTTCATTTTGGAGACGTTTTTTTGATTCGGTTGTCCCCCAAAGACATTATATTCTAGCTTATGAAGCATTTTCTCGGACACCAAAATCATGCAGTTTKTCATGAAAACATCGTTGAGCGAATTACTACTCCCAAAGAAAATCGTTGTGCACCAACACGAAAAACGCCGTGCAGCTTACTACACAACCTACATCGGATTGTTCCTTTTCAGCTGTGCAATGTGTTCACAAGATCTTACAGGGCGTGTACCTTTCGAACGACTCGACTTCAAGTACTGCAGCACCGCGTGTGTGAGGAAACACAGACTGATCTTGGAGAATAAAGACAGATGACGATGGTACGCCCTCAAATATTCATGATAGCAATGGTCTGGCAAAACGAACCTCAATATACTGATAYAATTACCGAGTGAATTAGAAGCTGTTTATATGACGGTAGGGTGACACTGGTGTTAGCGACAAGTCTTTTTTTTCCCTTTTCCAAAGGGACCTCTRAAGCAAGACTTAGGTTTCAGCTTACCTCATGTTGATACAAGGAAACTATTGATAATATCAGAGTCTCCTGGTAACATCAACAAACTTTTTTATACTAGGGCGTAGACTTTATCTAGGACGGGTCATGTTTTTTGGAATAAGATCCTTTATGGAACTTTCTCACGCAGCAGCCATATTGGCTTGAACGATAGATTTTCCCWTGTAGCCTCGCATTCAAGCGAACCAGAATGAGGTTACACGGGTTAGGGGACGAGCAAGGCACTAAATTGAAAATAATACTCAAGGGAATGACATGACATCTTGAATGAGGTTACGCGGGTTTAGGGGACGAGCATGGCGCCTTGTGATCAAGGTACTAAATTGAAAATAATACTCAAAGGAATGACATGACGTCTTGAATGAGCACGCGTTATACCCAAGCTGAATTATATGTACGTCCAAATTAAAGCAAGACGAAGAAAAAAATATGAAAAATTGTGAATTATTTATTGAATAAAATTTTATCTCTTTATTAAGAAAATTTTGCTGTCATTGTTATTTACATGATCTTATGGCTCTGATGGTCGAATGATGCACCATCATTTATGAATCGCTATTTCCAACATATCTCCATAATTTGAGTGCACGGTTTTTTCACATTGCGCTATTTACATTGACAAAACCGAAAATAGTTATTGCTAGAACCATCAACATTAACTAACCAGCTACCCAAGGATTCCCCTGCGTGATTGTTTTCATTTTGTTTCATAAAATTAATTTATTTTGAGTTAAGGACAATATTAGGAATGTTTGCCACATGTCCCGTAAATGGCTTGTGATGTAGACAACTGGTCACGTGCTTTGGAAGGTATTCATCCATTTGRGTCAGCGTTCTTTCTATGTCCTCTCTGCACATGCGTGAGCTTAGCCCCCTACAGACTCTCACAGCCTCTCCCTGCAAGATTTCAAGTAGAAAATAAATGAAACAAATCCACACATTTTTAAAAAATATTTTAGAAAAACACTATTTAGAGTAATGTTTTCACATTTTAGAGCGTGTGCCAGCCCTTTGAGAAAAAAGATTATTTATTCAAGTTTCATCCATTAACGGATGTATATTTTCAAGCGTTACTGTTAAACAAAGGAATGTAAAACGGATGAACATCAACGAACCTTCAAGTAATTGATAACCTTCAGTGGTCTGCATTCAGAAAGAGAGCTGGATTTAGATTCCGAGTCTTTGATCAAACCTGGGACAAACAAATAAATGCTTAGGTAGAGTGCCGAGAGTAAACGCGTGAAAAGTAACAACTTATATAAGAGTAGTATAACTAGGGTAGTAGCTTTACCCAGTTCAACCTCACATGTGACGTCATCGCTCTGGAAATATCTTGCGCGCTCCTGTCGGCGAAAGATAATGTACACCGCCCCCTCCCCCTCCAAAAATAGAAGTACAAAAACGTTGGTGACCATCTATTTCGTTATTTTATTTTCTTAGTAGTGCTTGCACTTCGTAAATGAAAATCGTTACAGATGCTAGCCATACCCACCTAAGATCTCGGCGAGGTCTGGTATTCCATAGAAAGGTAGACTAGTGGTGATTCCAGTAACCACAACTTTCAAATCTTCAGTATCTGGATCTAAAAGGAATCAAATCAAATTGTCCCTGTTCGTTTGTTCGTTTTTAGAGAACAATTAAGGAACAAACCCCAACTTTTCAAAGAATTAAGTTGATTCCATATTTGTAAGATTACAAATATGGAATCATGCAGTAATTTGTGCCGGTATTGTATCAGTTTCTCGAAGTGGCTTGATTGTTTTTTGTTGTTTTTTTTCGTCGACTGCCAACGACTGCCTACTAGAGTGCAAACCATATATCCGTGAAATAGCACGAAACACATGTATTTCTTTTGTTTTCGGTTGTTTCATTGGTACTATTTTGCACTACTTAGTTAGTACTATTTCACGGATATTGTTTGCACTCTACCTGCTATGATCTTTAAAGAATACTCCTGGACTTTTCTTACATTTCGCGAACCCTGAATATAACACACAACTACTACTTTTCAACATGACGTACCGAGTTTAACGCGTATATCGAAGCCATTAGACTTKATCCTTTCATCGATGATTACCCTAGATTATAAAACATGTAATGATAAGTGCTGGACAATACTTACTGGCGAGGGAATTCAATTGAGGTATACGTGGCCTTATTTTTTTCTTGGTGATATAATTACCCACAAAGCGCGCGCGGGGTACGCGACGCAACGCGCGCAAACATTAGCGTTTCTACTCTGAGCCCTTTTTTTTGCTATCGTTCTACGTCTTTCACTGATATGAATATGGTATTGGCATTGTATGATGTATACCTTCCAGAATCTAGAAATTGATTTTGACTTTCAAGTTTTGTTAAGATAGTCCAACATTCTTCTCCTCCAACAAGTCTAAAAGAAAAAAATCCAGATTGGTTAGCTGAACCTATATACATCAAACAATATGATTGGTTCCTGACCTGGGTTCCAGTTGAATAGATTTCTCCAGCTTGTCTCCAGTTAGTGAATGCGTTTGCATTAATTTATGGAATAATACTTGCTCCTGCATTCTGAACGACAAAACATTTCCAATGTTAGCACTTATTGCCGGCATTGCATGAGTCAATTTTAAAACCCCTNGACTTGTCGCAGCCTTATGTCCCTAATGTGAATAAGAGGAGTAAATAGTAAGTACCCCTGACCCCTGGGATATGATGGAGTATGTACTTAGTTGACTGAGTGGGAGGGCCRACKGGAAAATATTTGGCTCGAGGTCATGCCGTACRGACCGAGTGCAGTGACCGAACTCAGTCAATCAGCATTTTATTGTATGACCCATTTTTTGTTTCTGAAAATCCCTATTCAACTAATACAGATAAATACAGATTTTGTGGTCACATTTTTAACCTGTATTGATTTACAAAGGCAATTTCATCTCCTCTAAGCATCAGCCACACCCCTGATGGATCCACCCTGCCAATCAGTTGATGCTTTGATGAAGATGATATGTTCTTCCTGCAACAAGATGACAAGTACGACAAAAAGTAAAACAATATTTGTGTGAATAATCCACTCCACTCCACTCCACTCAGCTCTGCTGCACTCCACTCCACTTATCTTCCTCCCTCTGCTTCCCCCACCCTTGACAAATGCTTCCCTCACCTTGGATTTGAGTTGTAAGCCTTAAGACTTGACAAAGAGAATGGCACTGTAACTTTCTTTGCTTCTTGATATCTTTGTTGAGGAGTTTGGGAGGCATGGACAGTGATGAGAGACTGGTTGCCAAGCTAGCAAATTTTAAAAGGAGGAGTTTTGATTTATTAACAATTAATCAATTTTATTTAAAGTAGATTTTAACTGCAATTTTTAATATTCAGCAAAATTAGTACTTGAAATTTGCCCATTGGAATATAGTTTTTTTACTGCCTTCAGTCAAAAATGGAAAAGCTACCAACTGATAAGTTTTCATTTATGGCAGGGGAAAACCAAATTTCAGTATTCTGCAAGAAAACTGCTCTAAACAAGCTAACAACTAAAAATACAAAATATTTGTATTATTTACCTGGTTCACTTGTTTAACTTTTTTGTTTCKTTTTAGACTAAGGCTCTGAAATATTAACATTCTGTGGTTATTGCACAATTATGGGATTCAGATATTTAGGTAAATTGTTCGGAAATGAACAGAAAGAAAATGTCAAATGTGGAAAGAAAAAAGCTTCCCTAGAGCTTGCTCCGATGCAAGCTGACTTGGTTTTGAGATGAGTGGAGAACATGCATTACAGTTCTGACTTATGGCACATGCCAGGTAAGGCATTCATGAGAATCATTCTGTTCAACATTACACACGTGATTATGTAACAGATTAGGTAATGTGGTTCAACTACTGCTACAGAATTGCATTTTTCCYCATCATACCTAATGCAATATTGTTTGAACAAAGAGATTACACTAGATTGACAGGTTTATTTATCTATAGACCCCCTTTCAAAATTAACAGGAAAATACACTGTACATATTTAAAAATTCACACTCAATGGAATTTATTATTTATTCAAAGCTATTATGAAAACAGCACATATTCTTGAAATTGCGACAATATCTCCAGACAGCCCGTTTATACTGCAAGGTTACAACTGCTAGCACAGACAACCAATCAGGCTGAAGAAAAACACTCCATAATTTGTATCAGTGTTCGTGCTAGGTTCCCAAGAAATTATTCAAGGAGTTTTCAAGGAGTATTCAAGGACTATAATGACATTTTTCAAGGAGCAACTCTTAAGAGGGTTTCATTTTGGTATTAAAAATATGAAGAAAATGCCAATACTAATCGAGATGTGCGAATTTGTCACGTGATATCCACGCCACATTGAGCCACTAAGTTCTGGAAACTTAAAAAATAATAGAAAAAGACACTTCTCCCGAGACGTAGTGAAAATCTCTAATTTTAACCAATGACAACGACTCACGGTTTACATATCTTGATAGTTTTACTGACATTTTTTCATGGAMAATTTTTTTCAAGGAGTATTCAAGGACATTTCTACTTTTTTTCTATTTTGAAGGAGTTTCAAGTGCCCTTGAAAATGCATTTTAAATTCCAGCACTTTTGAAGGAGTTCAAGGACCTSCACAAACCCTGTTGTATATTTCCATATATAGCATCAGTGCTTTTGCTTTCATTTTATTGTTTCACATTTGAAGACACTCTTCTGACAAAGTGGACCTTACTTGTGTTGTGCAATGTTTTGCCATTACACACCACAAGTCAATTCCCTTGAGGAAAAGAATTCTTTGTTTGAGTTGTATTTATCCAATATTCATTTGTCTTCTTGTGTGCAATTTTTGAACCAGTAAAAAAAAAAGACACATGGTTTGTAATGGGAAAATATTGCACCACAACAAATAAGGTATATTGCTGTACCTTATCACCAGAATGCTTTCTTTTTCCAGGTACAGGTAATGGCTTGTTTTGGTCAACAGATTTAACAGATGATGGTGTAAGTAGCTTTGTTGGCTGTTAAAAGGAGAATATTATATGTATTTTCAGATTTATTTTTGTGGGCATGACATACATACAAAGCAAGTACTTTACTTAACAGGATTATCATTGAGGAAATACCCCTTTAATTTATTAACATAAATCTATAAAAGCAACAGTAACAGGTTTCTGATTACTCATATCCTTTATGGTCACAAAAAACATTCGAGATGCAAATCAAAAAATGATGACATCATCAGTAGGCGCGAGGAAAAATTCGAATAATAAAAGTAAGTTTATCTTAATATATCTTCCTCAAAAGTCCAAATAAGTTAAAACAAGTATAACAATCTTATTGATGTGTTTAAAAGTGCTACAAAATAACTATAAGGTAACTCCTCAAGGCTAGGGAAGTATGGATCTACATTGATACAACAACGTACCTCTACCAGATTATTTTGTTTGTCTTTCAAGATGTTCCCCATACTCCAATTCTTACTACCAATGCCTTTATCAATAGTCAGATCTACCATATCTTTAACCTTGGATGCAGCAGTCTGGCTGATGCTTGGTGATGACTGTGTTGACTGGCTGCTTTGGCTGCCAGTCTTTTTATGAGCAATGTCTTTGAGGATCTCATCAAACTCTAGGTCGTCAAAGACACTGTCGAGCTGAAAAGAACTGCTGTCATTCTTGTGCTTAGAAAGAGGTGATACCACTGGCTGGCATGGCTGGCTTGGTGGTATTGGTAGTTTCAATGTTTCCTCTTCTGAGTTCAAATTTTGATTTTCCTTTTCCGACAAATCAAGAAGTTTATATATGTTGTTTACATCCTCTTTATCAAGAGAAAGATTTGAATTTTGACTACTTTCTTCCAAGACAATCCCTTTTTCATTGGTAGCATTCAACTTTGACTTTTGTACTTCATTTGAGTTCGTCTGTGTATTATCAGTGTTAATATCGTTAGAGACAATATCATTGGATTCTAATATACTTTTTGATTTATCACCATCTGGATCAGTATTGATTCGGACAGATATACATGTGCCAGTTGAAGAAATTGATGCATCCTTCCATGGTTCATTTACGCCATCCTTTGCACCATCGACCTCATGAAGAGTATTATCCGGAGACAAAAATTTAGAAGATGCTGTAGATGACTCTTTGTGGTCAAATTGAACATGCTCCATGTTGTTCTGTTTCTTCTCAAAATTGACTGAATTTGTTTTTATTGGTGAAGAATAAAGTTGTTCAGATTGTTGTGTATGATTCTTAGTGAAGGGTACTTCCTTTGCCACATTGCCATTTTCTATTGTGCAAGTATAATTTTGTGTTGATGAAGCTAATGGGTTAAAAGTATCATTTATATCAAGATAATCAACTAAATGTTCAGCTGAACTTGATGAGATTAAAGCATTCTTATTTGAACTGAGAGAACCTTTTCCATCATCACCAAGTCTTTCTTCTTCTCCTTGACTTATATTTGTAGTGCATGAGACGTCTTTACCCAAAGAATTCTCCACAGTTTTACATCTTTTTCCATTTTCACAGTTCAAACTAACGCTATCTTTAGCATTTTCCATTTCTTTTTTGTAGAACTTTTCTACCACAGCTTTAACGACATCCAGTATTCTGTCTTTCTCTGTCAATAGGACTTTTGTCTTGTTTGGTTCAAGGTTGACGTCAACACTATCAGGAGAAAGTTTGATGCTTAAAAATATAATGGGGTAGCGGTTTCCAGCAGAAGCGTAGAATTCCTTCACTAGCTGAAATCATGAGACAAACAAAACCTTGACTTCTTTAGAAATGAATAATTTAAAAAATGTACAGTATTATTAGAAACTGTATGTTACTGTGTGGGCACTCAAACCATGAACACTTTGAGCTTTTTTTTTACATTTTCCAAATCATCCAATCAGAAGCCAGATTCTTACTGAGGTTCCAACATTTTTTTGCAATTCAAGAGCCTCTTGTGTTGTTGTTGCCATTAAATTTCATTTTGTAACAGCTACTTCGTCAACTACTGATATTTTTGTTTTATTTCTGTAAATTATTGGAAGTTTTCACTTTATGCCAGTTTTGCATACTACCATGTCTTAATACATGATCTAGCAGTTCATAAGTTCACACAGAGTGAGCTAAAAATAAAACACTGAAAGATTTTCTGCTGTTTGTTGTGATTGGATGGCACCTAAAAATGTTTGATTCCTTTAATTCACCTTTTTGGCGCTAACTGTCACATGGTATAAATTGTGTTGGATTGTGTTACCCTCACCAAGAAGTTCGGACATTGTTCTCGGATTTCCATACAAATGTACTGACTTTAAATGAATTACTTGGTTTGTGTTGTTAGTTCTCTAAATACAAGTAAAATATCATTTTTCTAACTTGATTGAAGCTTTTCTTATTGCTGTTAAGAGAGCTAACTAAAGAAATCTATCTAAATTTACTCTTTAAACTCAGTGAATTTGTATGGGAATCCGAGAACGATGTCCGAACTTTTTGGTGACCATAACACACTCCAACAAAGTGTTTACGATGTGACGGCYATTGCCGAAAAGGTGAATTGTTTCTACAGAGAGCTGTGATTGGATAGTTATGAACAAATGTCAAAAAAAAAACTTGAAGTGTTCATAGTTTGAGTGTTCACACCATAATGAATCTTGGACTAACCTGTGACATTTCCTTGAATATAACAGGCCTTTCATTCACAAAGATAAAACTCCTGTCATTATTCGCCCGGCACGTAACACCTGGATCGGAACCCATCTTTGGTAAATACACAGTAAACTGAAATTTGTATTCTTCATCTTCATATTCAAGTTTATCCATTTGTGCCATAACGGGAGAGCCCAGGGCTGTAACCAAAGCTGTTTTATAGTCATTTACTTTACCCTTTTGCCATATGATTGATTTGTTATGCCACAGAACAAGCCGTACTTCTGGGTGAATACACCCAAATGACATGACAAGGTCTTCAATCTTCTTAAGCTCTTCTTTGCACTTCTTTTTACTACTCAAAAACTGTTTTCTTACTGGTAAATTCTTGAATAAATTTGTTACAACTACTGTCGTTCCGGTTGCTGAAGGAACAGGTTTTGTCGTAAGCACCTTTCCAGATTGTCCAAGTGTATAACATATCCCGACAGCATTATCTTTAGTTTTTGTTGTGATTAATACATTACTGACGGCACACAAAGAACAGAGTGCTTCCCCTCTGAAGCCGTAAGTTGTAAGCTCGCTGAGATTTTCAAAACAGTCTATTTTTGAGGTGTAGTATCTCTGAGCCATCACCTGCGCATCTTCCCTTTTGATGCCACACCCATTGTCACATACCTCAATTTTGCTAAGCCCATGTTCCTCCTAGCAAATGAATTCATAATAGCATAATAAATCAATGTGGACCAAAAATGGATCAAAAATTGTTTGGTAGCATTTACTGCACAATGGAAAGTAAGACTTCAGGTACTAAAAAAACGCAAAAATATGAAAAGTTATGTAGTGTTTTGAAAGTTTCCTTTATGATAAATATTTACTGGAATTTTCAAAATCTTCCTTTTCTTTTTTCATGCAAAGTCTTTTCAAGTATATAAAAAGTATATGAGCTTATTAACTACATCGGACTTTGTATCAGAGAAATCTAGACACAAGTTCAACATGTAAATTAATATTACATTTAGCAAAGTCCTTGAAATTACACTTTGTAAGCTTATTTTTCAAATGTAATTTTATAAACAAATAGATAAACAAATAAATCTTGAGTCATATGCTCTGAGGTAAACATAATCTTTAACGAAAGCAGTCACTTGAATTGCAATCAGTAATAAGACAATGATATAAAGGGGGAAAAACCTCCAAAATCTACCAACCAATTTGACTTCAACATTATCAGCACCAGCATCTAATGCATTTTCTACCAATTCTTTGATTGCAGTGCTGACTGAAGTGATTACTTGCGAGCTGGCGATTCGATGTACTGTTGAGGCTGGTAAAAGAGTTAGAGAACTCATAATTTCTAGCCCAGAGGTAGATGTAGCTCACATTCCGTGGAAATGTTGTTCTAGAGAACGAAACAACTGATCTGAAGTTGATCAACTTATTTTTGTAATCGAGCGGGAAAAATTTGCTGAAAGGATCACGTGTGGAATGTCGTACGATGGACAAGCGATAAAGCGACGAACTTTGTTCGAACTTTGTCGCTATTTCTTCGTGAACTTATCGTACAAGCGTTGACGAGCGATTAATATATGCTTTTCAGGAAAGTTTATTAAAAAAATCAAAATAAAAGTAAAAATGAATGCAAAAGTTTATGTTTTATTCTTTTTCTTAGTAATAAATGAAGAGATTTTTCAGAATTGTAATATATTTATCAGCAATCGTGAAATACAAAATGAATTACCAATTCTTTTATTTTAATCCTCGATTATTTAGCTTTTGTTACTTTTAAACCTTCAGTATTAAAATAAAGTTTGTATTAGTAGCCGGTGCTTTACAGATATTTTTTTAAGCCAATCATAATAGACTAACTAGCTCCCAAGGGGCATAACATATGATACGGAACATATTCATAGCCGTTGCCAAGGGCAACATTCATAACCACAAGCTTGAAGTCCGCACAACACTAAACGCTTCAACCAGGACGAATAAAACCCAATAAAAGGGTTCATCAGGAAGAAAAACTCATGAAGAAGTAAAGCTAAGATAAAAAAGGTATTTATTAACGGGATATGATCAATAGTTAAATAGTAAAATGGTTATGTAGGTTTTCAATGGATTTTCTCGGCTTCGCAGCACGTTTTCTAACTTGGTTCTAATGACCTCATGCTAAACAATAGTTGATTTTTCTTTTCACAGCTTTTATAGTATCACAGCTTCTGGGAAAACAAAGCTAGTTAAAATGGTTCTTTCAAGAGAATATTCAGCTGCTACTAAGCAGCTTCTCAACGATAAAGGACTAAAATGTGTTTGTGAGCTGTGCGATTGTGGGTGAGTAGTTTTCASGGTATCTTTAGCTTTTGTAGCTACATGCTATCTGCGGATGAGCGAAAAAGATTTCAACGCAAAATTAAAATCCAAATTAAAGTATCCTGTAAGCTGAAGGATTTTTTAATTATTTACGAAATTCATCAAAAGTCAATGTAGTATACCTTACTTGCATACTGGCTTTGTAGGTATTAAGTTAAAACAACATTTGATCGACAGTACGTACAGACGAATTTTAATGCATATAAAATGTCATATAAATGTCACGTCGATTTGCGTAACGATAGAAGAAAGAATCCCCTAAACTACCCTATGGTACTTAAGATATGAAAACTAAAGATATCGATCGATAAAATTTAACGCATTTTTAACGTGGTTTGTAATATAATCGCATGTGTGGATCAAGTACAGGCTTGTTGACTTCTTTTGGTTAATAAATGAATAAAACTTGAGTGCCTCAACTATTTGCTGTAATTTTTATTCCAGCTGCATTTTCTCTCGATGTTTAAAATCTTGTCAGTTTGTTTAATCATATTTTATGTGTGTAAAAATTCTTACTAGTTTCTGTTGACTCGGGTTGACTGAAGTAAACAAAGCTTGAGAAACCACAGGACCCCCACCGAAACACAAATCGAAACGAGCACTATCGAGCGGTGAAAAGTTTAGAAATTTAATTCAGAGGGTAAATTCTACCTTCAACGATCTAAAAAGGCTTTGTTTTTGCTTATGCACAATAATTTATTAGCAAATGTTTGTGAGTGAAATCCCGAAATTATAACTGAGTGTTACCGGTCTGAACATTTTACAGGCAATATCATCGTCATGATGGCTGTACCAAAAATATCCACAAGATGCATCAAGTATTCAAGCGTCCAGGAATGGGCCATGTTGCAACAGACTATCAGGCAACATACAAACCACATGACAATACACAACAACGACATCTAAAAAGACCTCTCCCTAAACTACGCAATCCTAACCCTCCACCCATGGATTTTCGAACGGAGCAAAGAATGGAGTTCATCAAGAGGGAGATTCCAGGGACGAAACCGTGCAAGGTAGGTCGCATGTTGTACTTTGATTTTTTTGTTTTAATTAGAACAGCTCGAAATGAAATTCCCAATCCTGAGGTGCATACTTTTTTATACTTTTCTATATACAATTGTTGGTTTTCTACCATTCCCAAGAGAATTAAAATAACAAAAGACACGGCGACCATATTGGAGGATATAACAAAAGAATTCATTGACGATGAACATCCAACATAGCCGCCGTAAAAACCATCAATAGTGCCTAGCGATAAGGGCTGGTGCTCAATCCGAGATCAGCAATCCTCCAAACCAACCCCACCACCACCACGATGTGTAGTTAGCGAAATAATAGGCAGGGCAACCCTCCCCACCATTGCAACCACCCCCCACCCTCCCACTCCCAGCACCACCCATACCACCACCGCGCTGGCATTTTCTGCGTTTACTTCATTAAAATAACTGAATGAAATAAATGTGTTTTTTTTATGAGACATAATAAAAGCCATTCTTATGCTCTATCATAGAAAATTTGTAAAGATTTGACTAGATTTAATTTTTTAGTTAGATGTTTCGAGATATGTCAACCACATCCCTTCGTAAATATCCCGAAGTGTCTGATCATAGTTATATAAAAATAAAATCTGGACTCGAACAGATATATCATTACTTACAAATGCCGTTTTTCTGTTCAAAACAGATGGTAGAATCATACATCCAGCCTGAAGGAAAAGTCGAAGGTCTAACCGTCTACAATGAAGAATTCATTAACAGAGGACCCGCAACTGTCCCGAAAATAACCCGCCCGCAAACGGTCATCACGCAAAAAGAATCCAAGTTCCAGTCACAAACCACGCACAATTCAACCTTCACACCCAAGAAGCGTATACCTCAACCAACCTACGGTGAAGTACCGAGTTTTACAGGCTCGATTCTGTTTCCGGATCCAAAGGCAGACATGAAAACAACCAACCAGGAGGTTTATAAAGGCAAGTACGTGAAAGTGGCTGATTTGTGCAGGCCTGCTGAAGACCAGGTGACGATAGGAATCGAAGGAGACCACTTTTATGGGACCACACACAGAGACACCTATAAGACACCAGAGATGGAAGGCCGACAAGAAGCTCGTAAGAAACAATCCCAGTTAAAGGCGAACCAACGCGCAAAGTTCCAGTCAGATACACAGTTCAAGAGTGATTTTCCGGGTTATGGCGGAAAAATGCCCGAGCCGACTAAACCAATTCCACCGCCTCCTGAGACTGTCAATCTAGCCATGAATAATAACAGGCACTTCTTGACGACAAATAATGACTTTTACAAAATCGTTTGGGACCCTAAGACCATTGGAAAAACCAAAATATTGAAACCTGACGCTGGCACGTACTCTAAACCATTGGCGAAGATGGAAACCAAAACACAAGCGATGCGTGATTTTACTCAGAAAGAACCTGTCAAAATGCCTCAAATTCGACCGCCCACTCGCACAGAACCAAGCAAGTCCAAGTTCCATGACGAAACGGCATACAAGAGTCAATTCAAGCACTACCGCTCGGTTCCTTTTCAACGGTATGGAGATCTACACGAATCTGCTTTCTACCTGAAACCAGTGACGAAGTTCTACCAAGATGGTTCTGTCACCATGCAAGACTTCCAGGGAGCCACGGGAGGAAAACCAAGTACACCACATTTACCAATACAGAAGCTACACGTAAAAGGTGGTGACATCCTTTGCCAGACAACATATAATTCTGACTACGTCCGTAAAGCGAAGGAGCAGTGTTCTTATCTTCAGTGGGTGCAAGAACGAGAAACGCAGAAGAAGGCCGCTAAGATCACTACACATAAAACGACGGAACCTCAGACGATTGAGAAAGCCTTAGAGCAGAAGAATCAAGAAAAGAGTGCAGTTATGGTAGGAAATAAGTAGTAAAATTCCTGGACTAAAAGGAAAAGATAGTTGGTGTTGACAATTAATCGACATGGCGCTTTCTGGATGTGATCTTTATTGGGTTACAATTAACAGAACTTTTTTCCAGTCTGGGCCATAACATTCCATGGCAAATCAATAGAATATTAATATTAATAGACCTCTTTAGCTTGGGTGTCATGCTTTCCCATCTAAGATAACGTGCCATTCCCTAGAGTATTATTTCTTTGTTTAACAGGATCCCGAATCATCCGCTATTTTTTCCTGAAATCCCGCGTCTCGCGACAATTGTAAGCGACGAACAATCCAACATATTCAATGGCGTTTAAATATTTTATTTTATTTAATGTTTTCACGTTTTTCCCGAAAATCTGGGGGGCGATCCCTTATCCCGGACATTGAATTCGGTAACTCCCAAGTCACGGCCGATATCAATATCCCGAATCATGTAAGATTTTTTTCTAGTTTCCCGGATCCCGCGCTATATTTTATCCGTTTCCCGGCTCCCGCGAATACCCTTCCAGACCCTGATGAATATGGATACAACTCCAACAAACCATCTCATTCTCAATATGACACGTGGGCTGAAATGGGACGACATTACGCTCAAGCTAAAGGGCTCTTATTAAATCCCTTTAAAGTGCATACAAAGGTACGGTCTTATAAATTGAAAAGAAAAATCTTAAGTTTTGGGTTTTATTTTGCACACACTTTAACTGTTCAAAAAAAAAAAATGTACTTTTATCTTTATGAGATAATTCCATTTCCGAGAAAAAATGTCATGTCTTATCTAGTTTATTCTTAATCGCTGTTTTGTTTCCGTAACCCCTTGTCAAAGATTCACTTGGTTTAATATAAAAGTGGTTGGCCTTCAATTTTTTAACCATCCAATTTTATTAAGTTCACTACCCACTACGCCATCGATCCTTGATTTTAAAAGATTTCACTTTATTAAACAATCAATGCAAATGGTTTTTAAATGAAAAAATATTAGCACAAGTCAGACAGTCAGACGTTTTCCATTAAAGTTTTACGTGGTTTTAAAGGTGTTCCCGAGCAATATACATTTCGCAAAAATTAATAAACAAATGAAGTTAGAGAAATATTTAAATGATAAGATGAGACTCATACTGCTTTCAAGATCTAATGTACTGATAGACTAGTTGAAACTTTCTTACGTATACATGAAAGTGGGAGTTTACGTAGAGAACTGTTGACAGTCAGACAGACAGAAAAAGAGAGAGCTGAGACAGCATGACTTCTGGAAAAATTGTTATATTTGAAACAAAAAATTAAAAAAAACAAAAACAATGTAATCGTTTGGAAGAGGTTTATATGAGTGCAGTAGCTAGACTTTATTTTGTAGTAGATTAGAATATTTTTTTATAAAGAAAAAGTGTTTAATAAACGATTCCTTCTGATCAATACTATTGCTTGTCTATCAATCTCCTRGCCCCATTTCTTCCCATCAACCCCCCTAGCTCATGCTTATCCTCATATCAGTTTGCAAATATTCACAAATACCAACGGGAAAGTAAAGAATGCAGAACTTCAACAATACAAACACTTTAAAATTCCACGGACCTTGACTGGAACACGTGAATATTCTGCAGAAAGTCGAGGCGCACAACCTTAGCAACAGAGAAGTGGAGCATTGTTCAAATGTAGCGTTACTATTTAAGAATGCTTTGTTAGGCTACCTGTGGATTTGGCGGCAATTTTCGTGCCAAAACGCGTGTGTGCTAGCCCCCTCCAACTATGGTACACTAGCTAAGCCACTGGTTAAGTATACAAGCACTCAGGATAGCCCAAATAACCATTCTCGCAGTCAAAACCAAAAACCCACGGAGAGAAACAGTAGATGGACAAGTATCCGCGTTTCTGACAACAAATGTCATGCTGTAGACAACCCTTGTGAAGACAACAGTCACCGCAGACCCAAGGCCAGCACCAACAATACGAACCACACATACCAAAACAATGTGTCTGGTATGAAGTATAGCGCATGTCACTACAGCTGCTTAAAGAATGATTGCTATGGTAACGTGACGTAGTATTCTCCGTTTTTGGTGCTTCTGCGTAGTCAGAGGCTGCAGGGAAATCAGTGTCACTAAGAACGGCCTTGGAATAGAGGTTAGCACGGGTTGAAGGCTTGATAGTATGTAAGGGGGGTCCAACAGCATTTACTAGTCCCTGAACCAGCAAATGAAAGCGTTGAATCAACTGTTTTTGGACTTTTGAGGCATACAGCATTCGTTGTGCAACCGCCTCAGACATGTTTGCTAGAATTACCACTTCACTCCAACTGAGACGTTGTTGCGGTGTCCTGAACGATCGTTTTGCTCGAAGAAATCGAGAAAACGATTCGATGTCTTTAAGTTTGGTTCGTATGCATTTCCGCAAGCATTTTAACAAGCCTTCTTGTGGTGTATCGAATGGAAGACTGAATTCCTTGCTCTTGTACCTTTAAAATTCAAAGGACATAAATCATTAAACGCAATTTATCATTTTGTGATTCGACCAGTGAACCGATGTATGGAAAGTATTGAATCGAAAGCTGATGTATTTTCGATTATTTCATTCCTCAAATTTTATTCCGATGAATCTGGATGCACAACGTAAGATTCTTGAGATTGCACATACGATATCCTTTCTAATCTTAATTACTAGATTCAATGACAAATCTAGACGAACTATTTAAGCTGATTCCTTAACGCAAAATATCGCTCGACTCACTACTCTTCACTCTATCGATTTTTTACGTGCGAATTGCAAATCAGTTCATTGTTTGTTACGTCATGAAACATGATCTCCCACAAAAGTGTCCACCATTTTTAGTACCCGCCATTTTATCGGACATGCGTAGTACGTTTTTATGCGTTTCAAAGCTACAAATTCTTATTAGTTCTTATTCTGATTGTTAACAATCTAATTTCATCTAAGTCTGAATATTACGAATTTACATGCAATGTTAACGTAGAGTTTTCAGATAGACGCCTTCTTTATATACACGTCAGGAAAAATGATAAACGACTTGAAAAGATTCATTCTAAGTTTATAATCACCAGTTCAGATCTTGAGAGACTGAATACCATCATGTGCCCTACTGAACACTTTAATCTAAGCGGATCCCACTAATCTGTGATGAAAGCATCAAAACATCGGGATTTAGATAACATCATCTAATTAATTGTTTTACTTATTTTGTCTTGTCTAATCAAGGGAATCTCTCAAATAGACAAAACATGATCCACCGGCGAATTTTTTCAATGATGCTCGAGCACGCCGTCTGTATTGTCGCTGTTCATATCGAAAGGGAAAATATTATTTTAATGTACCTAGATATATAGATATGTATATTAGCTCGTCTTTTGTTTCGGTATCTCCAGAGGGAAAAGTAATTAAGACTGTTTTTCCTACACCAAGGCCGGTGACCCCGACAACACAGAGACGATTTGCACGTACCGATTATTTAATGCGCAATTGTGACTTCAACAAACAAGATCAATATAACTGAGTTCAACAAACAAAGTCATTGCACGCTTCAGCTTCGGTTTAAACAACACTATATAAGGAATGATAAACAAAAGAAGTTGGTAGCGAAGCTAAACCACAAAACAAAACGGCATCTTGTTTATCGAACTCAGAAATGCCTTGTATCCGGTCGCATAAAAGTCAATGTCGGATAACTTTCCACACAGATTTGTAAGATTAGGCGAAACGTTTTTATTCGATGTTTCGTCAAAAGCTGACTAGGAAATCTCGCATTTATATGGACGCGCACTTGCGCAATGATTGAAGTGTACGTCTACAGATTGCGCCATACCATGGCTTCAACTTCATTTATGGATTAACAATAATCGATTACTGATGGACAGCGTAATACTTTATAACATGCTAAATTTGAACAGATGATAGCATTGACGAAGTCATTAATTTTTTCAAGAACCTATTAACCTCTTATCTCACATCTCTGGATATTATGCACCAGTCAATTGAACCCCCCGCACCCCAGACCTCCGGGACAGGGCGGAGAAATTAACATTCATACAGTGTTGAATTTAAAACATTTCCACCGGTAGCCGTCAAAAATCATTGAAGTCGTTGTTGCTAATATTGTTACTGTTGAAGTAAGCATCAAATTCGATTCCCCGTATGTGTTCGTGCATTCACTCTGTTAAATGCCCGTTAAATCCCCGGTTTCGCCGCGTTAATTCACCGCCCAGTCCCGAGGGCCGGGGGACGGGCGTTGACCGGTGCATGCATGCAAACATCAATGAGGCCTTGACAGGGATAAATTTCGACAAGCGACATGGACTTGAAATGGCGACACCAACTAGCGCGACAAACAACAGACTACTCTAATGAATTACCGAAGGCCCTATTTGAAGTAAAATTCCAACAGCTACACGAGAACATTCCAAAATTGCGACATAGGCAATTGTGAAATTGTGACGAAAGACATGGATACCCTCACTCCCCACCCCCACTGAACCCCCTGAATAGCCTCATTACTAACTTATGTTATCAAGACTTTGTCAATTACTTTTATTATAACAATATTCACCGGCTTATTGTATCCGAGGGATTACCAATTTTAGCTCACTCCAAGTGAAGCTGCGTGGCGTCCAGACCTCATGTTACTCCCAAGAGTAGAAGACACATGATTATGGCGGATATAACTCTTTTTCTTTGAAGTAACATTTTTCAAGTCTCATTCACGTCATTTCAGCAGGAATGTCTTAAATTAGACTTTGAGCTTGCAAGCACGTTTTTGAATTAACATTGAATCTACGTCTTAACGCCCTTTCTTGTTTTCCTTTGTTTGTTTGTTTGTTTTTGTTTTGTTTGTTTGTTTGTTTGTTTTTTGTTTGTTTGTTGTTGTTGTTGTCGTTGTTTTTTTGTTTTTTGTTTTTTGTCGTTCTCCTTGTTGCAATTCAATTTTCTATTCAAATAAGCCGGCGGAACCCCAAACTTTAGGATAGAATTCATTGCTGTATTTGCATCGTTTCCCCTTAATTATTGGAGACACCCTTCTAAAAAGATATATTATTTATTTATTTTTATTCAGATAATTTGCCATAAGGCAGGTGCTACACAAACGTTAGGGGTCATAAGCACTTTAATTCAACATGTATCCWTGTCCTTCGTCACAATTTCACAATTGCCTAATGTCGCAATTTCGGAACGTTCTCGTGTCGCTGTTGGAATTTTATTCCTAATAGGGCCTTGCTTTCGGTAATTCATTAGAGTAGTCTGTTGTTTAATAGTTTAATTCAAACGTAACGAGGCAGCGTTCCTCCTCTGACGCGCTGACTAGCTACTGCCCATATGATTAATGTTAAAGATTAAAGGTCCAAGAACTTAATCTTACCTTAGAATCCCACTATCAAATACCTTCAGATAATGCACGTCTGGACTATATTGATAGAATAAAACCAAATCTTGGCCTCTCATTTTYCTTAGATACATGAAGTCATTTCGAATGATAAACCGAATCTCATATGTTTGATTGACCTGGAAGAAGCCTTGGAACTCGTTGCCATTTTGCTTTACGGCCATGACAAGAACTGATTGGAATAATCCTTCCTTTTCGTTTGTCGCCGAACCCAAAAGTAGAAATATTAGAAAAATAAATGACAGCATTATTATACACCGCCAGGCAAGACGGTGTTCAGTAGTGACAAACCTAACAGAAAGCCTCACTTGTGCTTCACTCACAGGTACTTTAAAAATTGTCATTGAATAACCTCAGGTCTTGGCACATTTTGTGTGTGGCTAGGTTAGCTAGTATAGTGTGATGCCAGTAAAAGGTCACTAACTTGCTTTCCAGTGACCTTGGCATTAAATTGTTTTGACTGGATTGAATACCTCTTTAGCTTAGGCGCGTAATGTTTTCCAATTTCACACCATGTGTCATCCTTGGAAAAAATATTCTTTGTTTGAGTCGTATCCTGATATCTCATGTGTCTTTTATGCACAACCGTTAAACAAAGAAATGAGTGAAAGAATTAGAAAGTTTAGTTTAGTTTAGTTTATTTGTCACAATATAAACATATACATTTTATAAAACTTGAGACATACAAATTTTGTGACTGGCGAAGAAAACAAAAAGAGAATGAAACGTAGTCTTAAATGGGCAAAACATCATGTTACGTCCAAGATACAAATCTATTCAACCATTGCAAGGATGTACGTTTGAAAACATGAGAGGGCACCTCAATCGATGCGGGAGTTATGTTTTCTATTGCATAAGACCACGCCTTAGGGTAATATGGAGTGGAGTGTAACAGAGTCTACAGCTTTTATATAGTTCTATGCAGAGCCGACTGATAATGAACCATTTAAGAAAGAATTCGAATATCTCATTGCGCGGAAACTTTGCAGCTTTCTAAGTATTCATCTCTAATTGAGCCTAGCTATAACGAAGGAGGGTCAAATGCCAGGACACTAGAACAATTATCGGCTGTCTTGTTGGGTTTTTTTTAAGGAAAAAAATCTCGAAACTGATACCATCAAGATATAGACTGATAGACATCCTTATTGAACAACGATTAATTAGTTACTTTTGCTCAAGGGCGCAAGGAAAGACGCATTGGGTTTTAGATGTATGTGTGATTGTTTCAGTTATTCTGATTGAATTGATATCGGTTTGTTTCTAAATGGATACTAAATAGTGATCACTTAAACGTCCTCTCCAACCAACGGTCTTTCTGGTTTGAATCAGCCGTACGATATTAATATATTTACCACGTCCACCAATGGTCTTTATGGTTTGAATCAGCTGCATTTCACTATCCGTGCCAAGCAGCGCCGGCGTCGCTTTGTTAGCGATTACTCTCCTTTAACAAGTTAATCAAATTTACCTTCAGTACAGTAAAATAGACCGGGGTAGGAAAGCAAGAGTGGTTCTTGTGTGCTCTCGTCTGCTCGGATAATCCAATTATTTTGGCAGTACATAGGACACTTTGTTTACACAGCGATGACAGATATGACTTTGGCGAACGCGAAACGAAGCCCGAACGAGGGAAGGAAACAAAGTGAAAATAATTGGATTATCCGAGCAGACGAGAGCACACAAGAACCGCTCTTGCTTTCCTACCCCGGTCTATTTTACTGTACTGAAGGTAAATTTGATTAACTTATTAAAGGAGAGTAATCGCTAAAGAAGCGACGCCGGCGCTGCTTGGCACGGATAGTGAAGTGGTAAATACTCAGAGCGTACGTACAGCTGATTCAAACCATAAAGACCGTTGATGGACGTGGTAAATATATTAATATCGTACGGCTGATTCAAACCAGAAAGACCGTTGGTTGGAAAGGACGTTTATTTTTAAATATAAGTGATCACTATTTAGTATCCATTCAGAAACAAACATATATCAATTCAATCAGAATAACTGAAACAATCACACATACATCATACTCGTGGGCGATGACATGTAGTTATTAGTTTAACCTGCTCAGGTTAGCGGCCGATTTTTGCCGCCGTGGAAAAGCTAAATTTGGATGAACTCGATACTGATAAAAATTGGAAATCATGGAATGTTTTTTTTCTTTTTCCCTTGTTTTTCATTCTTTTTCAGTTAGACAATGATTAGCTTTTGTTTCATTAAACAACGCTGACCTAACTACAAAAAAAAAAAACAGACGACCATTTACTGAAACCACTATCAACAACCAAAAACAAAACAAGTAACAGATGCGACAACCAACAAGGAAACAACGAGTTTTCGTGAAAAATGAAATCTCAAAATAAAACGTATGCCAATACCATTATTTTAGACTTTAGTTTTCGTAATGTTCTACAAAAAATGAAGCTTTACTGTAAAAGCCTTTATGTAGTAACTAACTTTGACCGCTTTTTCTAATGAGTTCCAATTTTGTTTGTTTACGATGACAATGCCGATTAATGTACGGAAAAAGAAGACGCGTTTTCGGAAAGCGCGCGAAAAGTTGAATTACAAACTGTCTTCGAGAAATAAAGACGAGGCACAAAAATAATTAAGCAAATGTCATTTTGGGTCATTTTTGCAATGATAAAAACATGTAAATAATTGTCCAAGGTCGTTCAAAAAAGTCTCTATCATTGCAAGGCTCGAGCTCACCGTTCGTGTTGCTTCGATTTAAAGGCACGGCTACCTTTCAAGATGGCGCAGGGACATATGACTGAAGGAACTATTCGTATGCGTAGAGTACCGCTTGCCATAGGAGGTCAGTACTTATATAATACAGGTTTATCAAGATTATAATTAATCTTTCTAAATTGGTTGAAAAGCCTCATGATTGATAAAAGATTACTTTGAGTTGCATGTCCCAACACTTTAGGCTCAACAGCAGGCAAACGTCTTAAGCCTTCATCTGACGATCATCCATTGATCTTGCATTGTCCTTTATCCACTTGGATTAGTCAGCATTTTTAAAATAATTCATGGAGATTACAAAAGTAGATCTCGACAATCTGGAGTCGCCGAAAAAGGACACGAGGAAGATAAGATCACGTGATAAGGGAGCTAACCTAGCCTTAAACCTAGTGAACTGTGTCTCCGTATTCACAATGCATCACTCTCACCTGGCTTAGACTAGCAAAAGCTTGGGCAGTTGCTTCACGTTAGTTTCGATATGAGTACCGAGCTTTCGAGGTTCGGTAATCGAAACAATAACAATATGAATTCCGAGTTTTCCTCTCAAATTCAACTGAAAAGCACAGAGGAGCTTTTCAAGCCAGAAAGACGTTCAAAGATCGTAAAAGGACTTCTTTCAGTTCTGGTTATTCTGATTGCCATTGCCATAGGCTTTGTACTTGGCTATTTTGTTTTCAAGATGACTAAAAAGGAAGAAAGTAGCGCGAAGAAAAGCTCAAAAGAATATCTGCAGGAGTTTAAGAACATGATCGATCCAAAGGAGCTTGAACACAACTTGAGGTGCGTATATTGCGAAAGCATTTTTTTAGAAACCCTCTACCCCCTGCTATGAAAGAAAAGGGCAAATCCTGGATAAAAATTAATTTGATTATATGAATATCAGTATGGTTAAGAAATCTAGATCAAAAAGAATTTAAATTGATTAAAATATTGATATTTGTTTGCATGATCGCACGTTAATTGTCTTGAATCTCGTAAAAATTTTAGAACATTTTATTCTTAAAAAGAAGGAAATTAACCACGAAACTAGGTGCAAATCAAGATCACTTTCTTTTCTGTTAATCATCTTTCAAAAATCTTTTTCGTCATAACCAGTACGTCGTTCTTGTACACACGCGAGACTTATTATTAAACCCTTGATAACTCAAACGTTATTGTTAAACATCATCTCACCTGTAAAATTAGCGATTTGCATATTTCGTGAGCAAATATTGACAGCTTACTCTTCAGCTTTTGCGAAAAGAAATATTTTTTTTAATAGTGTTATGTGGGCATAGTACCATGAAAAAATATCTGTCGAGGATCTAGCGGTGATCGTCTGATGTTGTTTTATCTATAAGGATTTCGGCTATTCAAGCTGTCTATAGCCCTTGGCAGCATTTCCGAGTGCAGCACATGTATAGATTTAGGGACAAAACAATGAATTTCAATTCTCCTATGTTAAAATTCCCCTTAGAAAAAGCTTTTTTTTAGTGTGAGTACTGAAAAATTCTGTTATTAATCGCTTGTCCTTCGATTTGAGCTGCATTGAGAATGTACTGTAAATATTCACAGATTTTAAAATCAAATCAATTGTTGGCATGAATTTTTAATATGGTTATTGTTTTTTGACTTAGCTACCCAGTATGATTTAGACTTCACCGTTCGAAAACTTTTTTTTTTTTTTTAAGTTCTCCTTAGTAAGGCACCTATTTCGTTAGTTTAGGCGCGAAAAAGTTAATTTACAAAATTGTACAAATTAGTGCAAAGGTTTGTACGTCTTTGAGGTCTACKGAACTTACTAATTTGTGCAAATTTGTGCAATGTTTCTTGACAATGTTATACACGGATATCTGAAAGCACTGCAAGACCTACGTATTGTCATTTTTATTGAATTCTGTGTATAACCCAATCACGWATTTTGCAAACGATGAAGAACAAGACTAGAGAGTTTTAGATTTACGCCACGGCAAACGTGAAACGTCAGTTGACCAGTAAAAAATTCTTTTATATTACTGAAAAAGAATCGCAAAAAAGTCCAAGTAGTAGAAAGACAAAAGAGTATTCGCGCTTGGTGAGAAGGTTTGTAAAAGGTAAAGTAAAATACCGCAGGAAAACTATGAAAACGTGGTCACGTTTGCCGTTTGCGGGGAGAAAAAAAGTCAATCTAAAACTCTCTACTAGCTTTCGTTTGGTTGGAGAAAAGAAAACGGCATTTCAGAATTAACATGGAGTCATGACTTGTTCAAATATTCAAAGATGCGTTCAGGAAGTTAAGAGGGGAATGTGATGTTGAGGCAAGACGGCTTCGGTATTGCTTTTTCTATGCTAAGCCAGTGCTTTACTAAAATCAACTGCGTCCAAGGTTTTTCGCCCGGAATAACCTCGTTCCCAAGCACTATAACTTATCTATATTCTATGTCTTCATGTAAGTGCCACGCGGTCCACATATTCTCATCTTTGCGTCCGACCGGATGAGCAAAATTTTTAATGTTTCACTTGCGTCGGAATCTGAAGCAGAATCGGAAGCAGCCTGACAGGGAAACCCGCTAATCATATAGCCTAACTTGAGAAAAATCCAACAAAAAAAACTTCCCATACCTCTCTGACTCCGATTCATYATCGCTCCAGGAGACTGATTATATACGACTGTATTTTTTTATATCCAGTTCGTCATAAGTAGCTTCCGACTCTACTGCCTGCGAGCAGAGGCCCGTTTGTACTCCGCTAGGGCGAGGAAGCGAGGACCTTTGATCTGCTCGCAGGGTATTCCGTCTCCGTTTCCGACTCCGAATTTCCGATTCGGTTATAATTGCCAGTACTACTTCTGATGTGAAAGCAGAAGGTGGCTGGACAAACAAGGCTGTACAAACAAGTTTTTTCCTTTAGTGTACCAACGTTTTAGGCGGAATGACTAAACACACCAAACGAGTAAATCTAGCAAATACTTCAAAAACATACATTCCCCTTCGTTAGATAAGGGTAATTAGAAAAATGCTCTCAAAACCATCTTCAAAACCAGCAGTTTTTTTTTTTTTTTTTTTTTTCCCCTTTTTTCTTATATATTAAAAATTCACTAGATTGAATCCTTTTATTTCTTTGGCAATCATTACCGATGACAAAGGTACTTGAACTTTGAGCCAAATTTAGTACAAGACTCATCAAAAGAGTACATCTGACGTCAACGATTTTAAAGATCATTACCTTTGACCGCTAATAGCCGTAGGAAATAATCTTGTTTGACATTTAACAGATAATCACCTCTTAATGTGCTTTAAAGTTGTCTTGAACAAGCACCTTCCGTTTATATGAATGTCATCTGTCAAGGAGGTTAGGCGCACCTTATAATACTGAATGTATATTAGTATCCTCCTCCGCAGGCGCGATCTCCCGCTCCTTTGGGCTCCTCGGGCTTCCTGTGGAGAAAAAACGATAGGGAAGGGGGAGTGGAAGAAAAAGTAAATATTATCCCTCTCTCTCTCTCTCTCCTCACCAGTTCTTTTCGTAAGTGAATCAGATCGTCTATGATATTGATAAAAGTATTTGGAGGATACTAGTTCATTGACAAGAGGAAACTGAAGGACAAAGTAGAAATAATGCATATGTCTGTCTAATTACGAGAGGCCAAACTGTGTCTGTCTGATCTGGCTACATGCATAATAAAGAAATAAGTAACAACAAGAATAGGATCTAAGAGTGGCATTTCCACAGATTAGCTTTTTATCCACTGAATTCTAATTGGAATTTAGAAGTTGAATTTTGCGGAGGGAGGAAAACCGGAGAATCCAGAAGCATAGAAGAACCAACTAGTATACTCACAGTACGACACCGAGTCCGGGAATCGAACCTGGGTTGCCTTGGTTAGTCGAAGTGAGCGCTCTCACCGCTCCCACCCGTGGATCGGAGGCTCCGCACGCCTGCCTACCGCCGGGCCAGCTTGATTGTCTATCACAATCATGAAGAAATAGAAAACGCGCGCGCGTGCTGTGTGCAGTTATAAAGCACGCGGGGGTTTGCAGAACACCAGAGAAGTGTTAGGAGAAGCACGACGCGTAGCAGAGTGCTTCTCGACATTTCTCGAGTGTTCTGCCAATCCCCAAGTGCTTTATAATTCCACACAGCACAGCAAGCTTTTTTTCTAAATTTCTTTTATAAAAATTCAAAGGGCGCGTGCGTGCTTTGTGCTCTCATAAAGCGCGCACTCCCAACCAATCAGAATGCGAGATTTATACTAATTATTTTATAAATGCGCTTATTGAGCGCGTATATATATTTTTCTTTAATAGGATGTTCACTATTCGGCCCCATATCTCCACAACCCACGGCACTGAAATCATAACAAATCACATCCGGGACACGTGGCAGAGCTACGGATTCGAGGTCGAGGAGCCTGAGTACGAGGTTCTTATGTCTTTTCCTCAAGAAGACAAACCAAACAAAGTATCTATCATCAACAACGATACCAAAGAAGTAGAGTACGACGTAATAGCACAAGTAAATGTAGGTACTTTTTGCTAAAGACATTCCTTTATGTTACTAATCATAATTAAAGACCAGGAACAAGCTGCAATTTGTGTGCGACGCGCAAGGATTGAACAACGAAATTTCCAGCTGATCTGTACTAGTGACGTAAAAATGACGTCACTGCGAAACTGAAGTRTCATGAAGATCACAAAAATGGACCGCCGAGAAATCTGTCCACCATTCGATATAATGATATATAATTCATTAGTTATTGTATTATTTGATCAGTCCTTTATTAGCAACGTTTTTTTTTTTTTTTCTTCCTTTGGTGACCTGAAAATTCATAATTTGAAGAGGAAGAGTGACCCTCAGAAGTTTTCAATGTTACGTCAGCAACTAGATAATGGAATGTTTCACAGAAAAGAATGATTTCGTTTAACTCGTCTAAGAGGATCTACTCCCTTAAGGTGTTTTCTGCATAATATTAAAATAATTGCAGGTTCTGCTCTTTTTTAGTCTATAAAATAAACAGTTTTGCGTTATGCATGTCACACTGCACTTGTGAATTTGATCTTGCGCCATAACGAAACAAGATCCAATATCCCAATGTTCTCAGTCAGAAGCGATCACTAATAAATTTTCTTATCTTTTTAGCATCCTTTGTTATTATATTATTTACTGGGCTGGCTGTTTATTTTCCCTGTTAGGAAATGCATGCAGAATAGTAATTGCGCAATAGTACCCAGAAGTCTTCACGGCACCATCCACTCGTCCTTTGCGGGCATATGATATAGAGATCCAAGTACAGTAAATATTCTTGTCAGCAAACTTGGCCAAGAAATCGGAAAGCGTAGCTCTATTTTTCGCGGATCGATATTGCTTGTATGACTGATAACGTCTGATCGAACTTATACATGCTTATAGGTGTCCGAATACGAGTAAATCTTTTTTTACTAAAAAGATTGCCTTATTGTTGAAGATTTAAATCTGGATAAAAATGGATTTAAAAAACAAAAAATCTTATGTGGATAAGATGGGATTCGAACCCACCAAAAGAAATTCAAAAAAATCGATTCCACTKTGCCATACCCCCGAGACATCCGCAGAGCTGAGGCGGCGTATGGACTTCGGACCTGACGGCGATTAAATCCTTCTGCCCTTGGGTGCACGAATTACGCAAGAAAATGTTCTAGCCGAAGCATCAGGGGAGAGACCAGCCGGCCCCCAGACCATATCGGCTAATCCCTTGCATCTCTGCCACGCACGGAATCGGTTGAAAATATAATGTTAAAAAGTCTAGTCTATTCGATTCGGTGCATTGTTTTCACGGCTATTGTTATGCTGATTCACCTGGAACCATAGTCCAGTGGATAAATCGTTGTCGTTCAAGATACCGAGTCAAGCTCGTCTAGGGAGGGTTAGCACTTGGATAGGTGACCTAAACATTATACCTACTCACGCTTTTAATCTCCTTTTTTTTTCCAATCTCTTTTGACTTTTAAAATATTTGAATAGTGAATAGTGAAACTTTTCTATTTTTAAGTAACCTATTTCTGTCTATCCAATTCCGTCCAATAGCGCAGCGCACTGATTCTAAAAATAGCTTAAAGATTCGGACAAACATTGCATTCTGCTTTTTTACATTTTTACTTAAAGTTACAATAATAACCCATGTAAACTAAGATCAACTGCGATCGGCTGTGAAAATTATCTGCTGAAAGTAAACTTGTAAGTTTGTTTGTCCGAATTTCGCCTTTGTTTTTATGACGTCACGGTTGCGCTACGCTATTGAGAAGCCCCACCCCCAATAAATCACTTTCATACGTGAGACAATTAATCATAACTCTTGTATTTTTTTGCTGTGTAAACTATGAACACACGTACATGTTATAGTGTTGTCAAACTGATCATTAAATTAGATTTTCTTTTCTATCCTTAAGGTGACAGCAGGTGTTGATAGCGACAAAAAGTACAAATACACACCATATTTAGCGTATGCTCCTAATGGCACAGTAGAAGGAGAACTGGTTTATGCTAATCTAGGCAGTCAAAAGGACTTCGAGGAGCTAGCTAAGAAAAACATATCCCTGAAAGGAAAGATCGTTATCATTGGCAATTTATTTGGATATGTAAGTGTTTAACTTTTTTATCGTAAAAAAACATATTTGATATCTTAGGGCAGTTCAACACGGACAATGACGATTCGGAGGAAAGTTGATAAAAGTACAATTTCTCTATAGCTTTTTCTCCAGCTCAGGATCGAGTGATTGAAGAAATAGAAAACGCGCGCGCGTGCTGTGTGCTGTCATAAAGCACGCGGGGGTTGGCAGAACACCAGAGAAGTGTTAGGAGAAGCACGACGCGTAGCGGAGTCCTTCTCGACATTTCTCGAGTGTTCTGCCAACCCCCAAGTGCTTTAGGACTGCACACAGCACAGCACAGCAAGCAAGTGTTTTAATTCTTTTATAAAATACAAATTACAATAATAGATAGGAATGACGCAACGGAAAGTGCGCGCGCGTGCAATGTGCTCTATAAAGCACGAGCTCCAAACCAATCAGAACGCGACATTCATAACAGTTATTTTATAACGATGGATCGAGAGCGAGAGAAGGAGGGAGAGTAACTAGAACCGAGCATCTATTTTGTCAGTCATAAAACCCCCTCTGGGCTGATCTAGGTCAGAACACGCTAACCCAGCAGATTAAAAAAATGGGATATATATTGTTGGATTGTAATTTCCTGAGAGATAATTCGAAAAGCCGAAGTTCCCGGATAAGATCCCTCGTCGAATCAAGTGAGAGATGCAATATCGTCATGCGGAGTACAGAAATCGAACAAAAGATTGAATTCACCGTCGCTTTACCGTGTCTTCGATTCTCATGACGAATAGCTTTCGACTTACTACTGAGCATGCTTATATTAGCCATTTCGAGGTCAAGGAAAAAACTAGGTCGAGTTGCTGCAGTGCATTGTGAGACTTTTCAGTTTGGTGGATATATTTCCAATATAGCAGCTTTGTCACCTAAACAACCTCAAAATACACTACAATGCTAACTCGACCCAGTCCTCTTACTCAGCCACGGAATGGCTAATATGGTCACACTTTAGTAAAAAGGGGACTGGTACTTTCAAGAGACCATGGTCTCTGTAATTTGCAACTCTAAAGTTGATGATTTCATTTGTCTTTAGATCACGGGTGCTAAAAATCTTGGTGCTGTTGGAGTCATTCTTTACCCTGACCCAAAGCTCTATGCCCCCAACGGACATGGAGTGAACGACACTTTCCCCAATTCACCATGGGTGCCACCCGATGCTGTACATTCTATTGCACTCAGTAAAACATTTGGAGATGCTTTAACTCCAATGTTGCCTTCCTCGAATGGAATGCATCGCATCGATTTAAACAAAGCAGGTCTTCTATCAATTCCTGCCCAGACAATCTCCTATCAGGATGCCCAATACATCTTGAGTCGAATGAAAGGTAAAGACTGAAGATTTTGTCGTGAGCCATGTCTGTGAAGTGGTGTTAACGAAAATAATGATTTCAATTGTTGAAAGTACGGAGAGCCTCATGTCCAATAAATTTTAGACTCAAAATTATTTAACAATTATTCGCCTAAGGCAAAGTCACTATCGGGGAATATTTCGTACCGAGACGCGAGTCTTCGAGCGGCGAGGTAAATATTCCCCAATAATCACTGAGGCTGAGGCAAATAATTGTTTTAGCATAAATACACAGGTGATTCTTTCAAAAAAAGAAAAGAAAAAAAAAGAAGACAAGAGGCATTTTTTTCCGATAACAGCAACAAAGCGGCTGTACGCCATTTTGGATTTTCGCTCGAGGTGATTCTCGTGTGATAGTGTGAGTTTCTTAACCAATCAGCGCGCGAGATTTTCTATAATCACCTGCGTATTTTTACTAACATATATTATTAACAAGAATTTGGATATTAAAGAGTACGACAGTTCGAATTCGCCATACTTCATTTTCAAGTATTTAATGTTGGTCATTTGGATTTATTAAATCATTATTACTTTTAATACAGAAGTATATGTAATAAACTCTTCAATTACTGATGAATCTACCGTTTGCTTATACTTCATAGTGTTTCCTTCAACCTGTGGATTTGGCGGGAACAATACTACGCGCGATTAATTACACGGAGCGAATTTCTCTGCAACTTGTCTCACAACAACGAAAAAATTGCTACGAGTAATCGCGCTTTTAAGTGCGCGCGCCCAACTCTGGGACTCTTGCTTCGTAAAGACGCAATAACTAGGAGAATTTTGTTTCTGCAACTTGTCTCGCAACAGCATTGCGACACAAGTTGCATGGAGCATTGCAGCGTGTAACCTACAGTGCAATTTGAAAATAATGTTGCTAGACATGTTGCAGCAATTGTTTGTGTCTCTGTGTAAAGTTGGATTCTCTTCCTCCACTAGAATTGTCGCCAAGCGTACTTTGAAATCATGTGTCAATGTTTTATTCACATCTTAATATTATTTTTAGTAATTACATCAATCTTAAATTATTGAACGTGTTAATTCTCCTTTGCAGGAGAAAAAGTCCCGAAATCCATGGAAGGAGGATTGAACCTCACCTATAGGTTTGGGCCAGGTTTCAACACGACCAAAGTAAACACTACTTTAGTTGTCAGACTTGAAGTCAACAATCAGTACGTTAAGAAGAAGATACGTAACGTCATAGCAACGATCCCCGGCTCAGAAGAACCTGACCGATATGTCCTGATTGGTAACCATAGAGATGCTTGGTTTTTTGGAGCTTCTGACCCTTCGAGTGGAACTGCAACAATGATGGAAATGTCAAGAGTCTTGTGGAAACTCAGGCAGAAGGGATGGAGGCCAAGAAGAACAATAAAGTTGTGTAGTTGGGGAGGTGAGGAGTTCGCGTTACTAGGATCACATGAGTGGGTAGAGGAATATGGCATGATCTTTAGAGAGAGAGCCGTAGCTTACCTGAATACTGATGTCGCTGTTGGGGGCAACTTCGTCTTCTACGCTCAGACAAGTCCCATGTTAGGTGATCTTATTCTGAAAAATGCAAAGAAAACAATATATCCCAGTAATATTTCTAAAACTATTTATGATAACATGCTCGAGCGTTTACCAAAATCGAAGCTGTATCCAGATGAGCCGATGATGTCAACATTTCGATTTGTAACTGATAATATTCCTTTTTGCCTCATTTTGGGGCTCCCGACAGCAGATTTTAGTTATTTTTTCGATTATACGGATGACATTTTTTTGTATCCTCTGTATCACACACAGTATGACGCTTTTGACTGGATCAAAAAGTTTGCTGATCCTAACTTTCTTTACTTTAAATCAATGGCGCAGTTTTTAGGGAGCATGCTGTTCGATCTGTCTGATTCTGAGATTATACCATTCAGCCTTCATAGATTTGTTAAGTCAGTTCACGAAGCCTACGACGATCTCAAGAAGGTCAATGACAAACTTGATCAAACACAAATGCTCCAATTAGAACAGGCGATAAAAATATTTGCAAACTTGACCACAAAGCTTGAGTCCACGATACAAAATATCAAAGGTCAGCAGTCGGATCATTACAATTTGCGCATGCTCAATGACCAAATTGCCGGAGTAGAAAAAACATTTGTTAGCCCTTACACTATTAGAGCTTCAAAGGATGGCAAGAAAATCATCGATGCGAACAGTTTTATAAAAATCCATAATGCGCTTCATCGAAATGTCAATCAAACTGAAATTGACAATCTTGTGAAATTCGAAATGTCTTTGATAATTCGGTGTTTCAATGTCGCAAACAAGCTGCTGGAGCCGATTAAATAAATATCAGGATCAAATTTGCTTGACAAAACTTTTTATTCAATTATAGTATATATGATTTTAGACTTGAATATAGAGGTCCTCGCGCTGGTGATTGGTCGAGAGACCGCGGTGGTTCTGAGATGAACGCTAATCACTGCACGAGCGGTTATTATGAGGTTTCCTAAAGTTTGCCAGCACGAAAGAAAAACTAAAACGTTTTTTTATCCTGAATTTCAAATTATCTATACATATACTTAAACGATTATTCACCTTAGGCTCAGCAATGATTATGGTGAATATCCTGTTTTACCTCGCCGCTCGAAGACTCGCGTCCGGTAAATATTTCCCGATATTCACTTCGCCCGCGGCGAATAATTGTTAGCGCGCTGGGTAGTGCTTCTCAGTAGCACGCACAAAACTGTCGTCGCGCGCGACGTAATTTAATTATATTTCGGTTGACGTCAATAAAGGCATTTCCATGGGTACGTGCGCTTGAAAACCTGGTGTTTTCCGACAATTTCATATATAAAATTTTGATTGATATCCCTTCAAACCCAGTTTGTCGCGACTGCAAATTGTACGATTTTTATAAAAGATTGTACTTTTTATAAAAGATTTAGCCGGTATTTCCGTCTGTTGTATTATGTGACTTTCAGTTTTTTAAATATAGGATATCAGATAAGGGCTATTACTCCCTTGGCAGAATGAACAAATATCAAAAATCAATAGATCATTACTTTGGTCTCACTGCAGATGTTAATGGGTGGGTTGTTTTCAAGGGGACGTGCAAACTGTGTAACCACCGATTGTGTTTCGTATAGTGTTATGCTCAGGCTTTTGTTCGATTCGTCGCTTGCGCAGCTTTACCAAATTATTAAGGCGTGTTAAACCTCATTCTAAGCGCAAAGCCCATGATGATGCATATATAGACGATATGTGAATACGTGTGATTAAGCCGCTGAAAGAGAAAAGGAAGTATCTCGACTTCATTTCCTTCCTTTATATTATAAAAATTCTTTTTGTTAAATCTCAGTTTCCCTAAAAATAAATATTAGTAAATTGGGAATGGACTTGTCTAACGATATAGATATGATAGAGGAGACTGAGATCAAGTAAAATTTCAAATTCTAATCATGCAATCCAGGTTAGTGGCTTTGGCATTATTATACAAAACTTCATACGTTTTATTAATTAAGAGTTTGCATATATTTTTAATATGCCTTTTTAAGCTCTTGTATTTTTTGAAAGTTAGTAAAAGTTATTTGGAACTTTTCTTCCAGTGGTTGCAATTTTGTTTGGGTTAGATTTAGCCTGTGTTATCGCACTGAAAAACCCAAAGCTAGAAACGGGGGGGAGGGGGTGGGGGGTTTGGATGAAACCGCTTGCCAGAAACAATACGAGTATAGTTCGAATTCTGTGGCCCCCAAAAAACTAGCAAGAAAACAGTGTCCGACCCCATATGGCTACCTATCACTCCTAATTTCATATTCTTCTTCCCCACCCATGACTTGCAAGTGAACATTATCCCATCCAATGGCTACCTATCACTCCTGATTCTATACCTTTCTACCCCACCCATGACTTTCAAGTGAACAGTATCCCATGGCTACCTATCGGCTCCTGATTCCATACCTTTGTACACACCCGTTACTCCTAGGTCATTTGAGTGGGCTCCCTGTGTTTCTCGCAAGGCTTGCTGGGTTACTAGTTCGAGCATACAAGATGGCGGAACTAGTACTTGATCCAGCCATTCGTTTATGGGTCATTTTGCCCATTGTAGTCATAACCTTCCTTATTGGTATYATAAGACATTACTTATCAATATTACTACAATCGAAAAAGGAGGTCGACATTCAAGGAGTGACTGACAGGTATTTGTTTTTTCTTCAAAGTCCACCTCTTTGGCACTTCTTTCTTTGTTCACGATTTATTTGTAGCACTAAAGTCTTGCTTTTCTATTTACGTAACTTAAGGAAAACCTTGTTCTCCTGATGAGATTAATACTTATTTCAATTATTTTTTTAGTCAAGCACTGTTGAGAAGTAGATGTCTTCGAGAAAATGGGAAGTTTATACCTCAAGAAGTGAGTTTTTGTTGACCATGCGGTAGCATGTCAAGCTAAACCCTGGTTAAACTTCTATACGGATCCGTCTCTTTAGCTTAACATTGAAATGAAACGATCTTATTGAATTACCAAAATTAGGAAACGTAGCTTATATTCAGACAGTTTCTTTTGATTTTGTGTGTTTTTGTGTGTGTTCTCGCTTACATTTTTATTCATTCATTTTGCTTTTGTCAGGCATTTGAAATGAGAAGACATTTCTTTAATGATGAAAAAGAGGGATACTTCAAGAAGACTGACCGCAAAGGCCAAGTGAAGAACCCTATATCAGGTAAAACTGTCTTATACACTGACTTTAACGCACCAATGTACATGCTTTGTGCACAGGACTGACAGTGATACCACTACAACCGAGGCCACCTAGAAAGCAAGAACCAATAATACTGTAGAATGAATACCATATGTTCTAACTTTGGCTCCAGAAGCTAGCCGAAAACAAAAGCAACATATCCTTTTATTTCCACAAGAAAATGGTGATGGGTTATAATCTAGTTGTTTACACGTAATAAAAGGATCAAATTACTATTCTCGTGCATTCTAGGTTTCTGATTGCCTCGACATTGACTTGGCATTGTTTTCAAATTCATTCTACAATATTTGATCAAAGGTTCTCAGTGTCTAGTTGATCCTAGCTGTAGTAGATAACAACTAGTTTTGGAAATAGTTTGGACTGCGTCGGTGTTTTTTAGTTGAAACAAATGTGTCGTAGTGGATAATTTTATCACTGTAAATATGAAGGATAATAGACTGATGTTTCGGACGTTAGTCCTTCATCAGAGTCATTGATTGATATTTACGGTGATAAAATTATCTACTACGACACATTTGTCCTAGCTGTAGTAGGCGCACTATTAAGAGATGGTACAGATGCTGTGAGTCCCTGGATATGTATATATATATGTAAGGTTTGGGGGGAGGGGGGGACCTTACCTCTGGAATTGTATAATATCACTACTGCCCCTTCTTCCTCATGGGAGACTAAGTGCCCAATATAAAGTACAACCAAGCTTAACTACATGTAATTTTGCTGATTATCAGGACCGGTGAGTGACCAGTTGCTATTTGTCTTGATAGGCCTGTGTCATTACTTGATTGCTTAATTGCCCTATTTCACTATGACATCACATCAAAACAATCTATTGTTTAAACGCAAAGGAGCATGGTTGTCGGAGGGGGTCAAATCAATGCAAATTCACTGAAAATTGTTCTAAAACCCTATCAATCCATGAAGAGAAATAGAATAGTCAGCAAACACTCAGAATATTTTTTAGTACATATTAACACATATTATATCTGAAAACCATGCCATTTTAGATTAAACTGTTTTGCTAGGAGCAAATTTTGTTGAATTTTCTATTGGATTTGGCGATCTATCCCCCACACAAATGAGCATTGACGTCATAATGAAATAGGGCAATTGACAGCTTCTTTGGCCTGGCATCCTGCAGAAGGTGCCAGAAGAACCTCATAATTTTTGTATTCATGACCTTCCAGAGGGGTAGGGGATCATCAGTCTGTCTCCAAATTTGAAATTCTGGAGGAGTGGGGATGGGGGGCCAAAGATAGTCAAATAGATCAAATGTCCTCCATAGTGAGGTATGGATATTTTCTGGAACTACACATTACTCATGGGAACTTTTCTTATATTACATGCAAATCCTGATTTCGGCCTTTTTGTAGATTGAAGTATATGTTCACTAGCTGTTGTTGGATTGTATGTTTCGTCTCACTGTGTCGTAACCAATATTCTTTTATCTTTCAAGATCCATCAATGATGGTGGATATGGCCAAGGGTAACATTACCAATGTTCTTCCTATGATCCTAATTGGTGGATGGATCAACTGGCATTATTCAGGATTTATCACAAGTAAGTCTATAACTATGTAGGTGTCATTGTTACATGACCTGCATAATAAGGCTTATCATATGAGCAGTACGTACGGCATTGCTTGTGTGCTCTAATAAAACCTCAGGGAAAAGTCATATGATTGGGGCAGGACAGATTGACATGAGTGGACCGGAAAAACCAGTCTGATCCTCCTCATTTGTTGTATTATTAAATTGTAACAATATCTTTCAGCTTTTATTACAACAAAGATTGGGTAAAATGTTCATTGACTAGCTGAGTTAGTTTGGTCTGATTAGGAATATATTTGGTTCTTGGTCATTTGTACAGACCTTGCTGCACTTGTTCTTTACAGCATGACCTCAAGCCAAATATTTTCCCATCTGGCCCAACTTAACCCAGTCAAAAAGTACATAATGTTACAAGATGATAAAGCCTTTTCAAACGTTTCAAAGTTGGGAATTTCGGAACCTGATCATGTGAACTATTGTGATTAAACTGAATTTTCAATGATGCCCAGACATCAAAGATTTAATTGCATTCTTAAAAACAGTATGTTTGTGTAGTCCCTGATCAAAGTTTCTATTTTTTTCTTCTAGCAAAAGTGCCATTCCCATTGACTATAAGGTTTAAAGCTATGCTTCAGCGTGGCATTGACCTTACAAATCTGAATGCCTCATGGTAAGTACCAGATATCTTCTCAGGATTTTGAAATTATGAAGTAACCCCTCTGGATGTACCAGCGTTTAGCTGAATGGGCCACCCTGTTTAAATAAAGGTTCCACAAACATAACCATGATCAAAGCTCTCATTTTCACACATGTATACCATACTATCACAAAAAATAAAATAAATAATAATCAAGGTCAAGGAGAAACGAAGAAAAATCTTTACTTGTGTTTATCCATTGAATGGTTTTTTGTTTTGTTTTGTTTTTTTTGTTTTTGTGTGTGTGAAAATGAATAAAACATTACGAAGAATTGAAAATCTCTTCTTAATTTTTTGTTTTCAGGGTGAGCTCTGTGTCTTGGTATTTTATTAACGTGTTTGGTCTTCGTAGCATGTATGCACTGGTTTTGGGAGAAAACAATGGTAAATTTTGAAATTTGTTTAGACATACATGTAAAAAAAAAAGATTTAGCTGCACATGTAGACACACATAAACATAGAGATGGCTTCAATTTTCCTCATGTAGTGCTGGATTATGCTAATATCTCTGAATGAAAGGAGAAGGGAGGAAAAAGGGAAGGATAATGAGCATTCTCTTTTTATTTCAAATTTATGCACTTATGAGTAAGAATGTATCACAATGGACCCTTCTTAAAGTTGTCTTGAATGCAAGGATAACATGAAAAAAGAAAAGAAATGCTATAAATTCCATCGAGAATAAGTGTGATTTCTTTTGTATTTCCATGTTAGCCTTGCATCTTCAATAAAGGGTTTGTTGTCTGTCCACACATTTCAATCGCCATGTCATCTAAATACCTTATGAATTGATTTTACTATCAGAATAGCAATTTGTAACTGTTTGTATCTTGTTCGATTAAGCGGCTGATCAAACACGCATGATGCAGGATCAGATGCAGATGCAGATGCCTCCAGATCCTAGTAAAGCTTTTAAGGTATAGTACTCTTTGCATGTGTTAATGATAATTTACTCTTAAACCATTTACTCTTAATGATATCACATTTAAATATGTGTAGTGTACACCTACTTGCAAGAACGTTGTCATACGATATTAGAACATTAGTAATTTAGTGAGAAAGGAATACATTAAAAGACAAAAGAAAAAGTTCAGCTTCAGTGATCTTCTTTTGTTTTTTAATATAATTCCTATCCCACTAAATCACTAATGTTCTATTTTTGTATGACAACATTCTTGCAAGTAGGTGTATATAATACTAATGATATCACATTTATATATGTGTATTATTGGATAGAACTCACTGATTCAAGGGTTGACTGCATAATTTTATCTGATTTGTCATGCCTCAGATTTACAGAAATCAAGAAGACATAACTTTAATACCTTAAATATCTTTGGAATTGGGAACCGAATCAACTGTACTATGCAAATTACCACTAACCAGAAATTGCTGCCTGATTTTCTTTCATAATCAAGTTTTTCATAACCTTATTTAGATTATTAAAAAAATGATTATTGTTTTTTTGTTCTTTTTTTTCATTCTCTTAATCTATCTAATCTAAGTTATCTCTTAATCTTTTCTGTCTTCCTACACATAGTTTGAGATATCAGGGTTTGAGATAATAGGACTCTACTGCATGTCATTAATATTTGTGAACCATTCCTCATAATATTATATTTTTTTAGGCCGAGTGGGAAGCCTTGGAGATCGTTGAACATGAATGGGCCCTCGAGAATGTGGAGCAGGAGTTGATGGAAGAATACTCTCCTTCTGATGTTCTGGCTTTAACCAAAGACAAATATGTGTAAAATCATTTCCTCTTATCGTATAATTCTGTACAAGTGCAGTATTTAACAGTTCATAATATACCTCGCAAAAATTGGAACATCTAGAATATACAGTCTTGTAGCAGATCAGAATTGACAGGCATTTTCGAGGAGTATGTATTTACAGTTAAATGAGCAAAGCACTGGAATACGACACTCTCGAGGTCTTTACAGACAAAGTATTAAAAACACAATGTCCCACATTCTGTATATGGAGTTTACTTTTATGGTCATCAAATTTCCTTTTTTCTGTAGAAGGCTTTTGTTACTATTGTTAGTTTATACCTAATTACCTACAATAAGTTACCATCTGATTCGTGAATTATAAAAAACCCCAGAGCTAAAAGCAATAATTGAAACGTTTTGGTTTCATTTTATATATGATTTTTTCAGTGCTTGAAACCTGGCATTCAAAGATTGTCAACATTTTGTAGTATCAAACAAAAGTGAGTCAGAATTTTTTATCCAGTTTTTAAGCATTGGAAAGTAGGTTAAAAAATGGCAATGTATGCAGCTACTGTAACTGGTATGGGGTTTAAGTGCTGTGCTACATGTAAATAGACTGTATAGTGGCTGCCAGATGTCAGGCCCGTAGCTAGGATTTTTGTTGGGGGGGGGGGGGGGGCTAATTTACAAAAAGTGGACCAACCATATACTTTATTTTTTAAAAGTCCCATGGGACGCATAGGTATAGATAAATTATTAAAGTAAAATTGATTTTTTTACTTAGTTTTACGTGAAAATATCATACCAGCCAAAATCTTACTTGCTTAAAAAGCAGACCTTTAGCTCGCTTGGGGGGGTGCACCCTCTGCACCCCCCCCCTAGCTACGGGCCTGGATGTGCCTTGACATGATTTCAGTGTGACTCTGTTGAGCTGCACCACTGCTCTACTTGAGATGGTGAATAGCGATGTATTTTTTCTTATTTGGATATAAGGAAGAAAGAAACTATTTCAACTGCTAAAAGTTTACTTCACAAATTATTCAGAAATCTCAAAGTAAATCAAGAATTGAAAAACATCTCCATCATGGTAGTGTTTATTTCCGTCCTTTAAAATATTAATTTATGTTTGAGACCTCCAATTAATTAAATGTTATACTGATTATCGATATATCGATTAAATAGGCACTAAATCGGACTATTAGTTAATAACTATTTTGTTTTTATTTCACGGATTAAGTACCATCGCTCTATTGAAAATTATGTAAAAATCCCAACTTGGAATCCCTATATTGGTTTGATATTGGGAATTGGTAAAAAAATCCCAACATCAAATCCCAATTTTGTTTCCCTATTTGGGTATTTTTTTGAGATTCCAAACATTAAATCCCAATTTYGTTTTTCTATTGGGTATTAGAAGGAAAGTCCCAACATTAAATCCCAACATTGATGTTCAAATTGGGAATTCAAGGAAATTTCCAACAAATTCCCAATTTGGGAATCTGGTTTTTTTTTTTTTTCCTGTGTAATTGATTTCATACGAGATTTACAAATGACAATAAGACGGCGTCCTGAAACCATCAGGCTTATTAAAGCAGAGAGCCTCCTGTAATATTAATTAGAGTCTATAAAAACATACTTTATACATAGAGTGAAGTCATTAAGCCTGTGAAATAGATACTAGACTAATAGATATTAGACTAATTTATAGCTAATTATTGGTGAAACAGCATTTTTTACAATTGAGCACTACATGTCCTTTTCATACTTTCTTTCTAAATCTAATACTCCATTTTACAGTTCTGTTGAATGACCATGAATAGCCATTCCTAGCTGAGGTTGGAAGTGCTGCCGATGATAAAAGGTATAGTTTTGCTCTGCGTGCAAACTCCTGCCTCAACTTGCAGGGCTGTCAACCCCCAAGATATTCAAATCTGGAGAATTGATAGGGAAGGGAAATGACGTCACAGCACGTCAAAAAGCGCTTGAAAAGACGTCTTTCGCTTTGTAACATTTGATATGATTGGTTTATTTCTGACCAATCAGATTATCGCTTACATTACAATGGCCTGCTTGCAAGAACAGTTTATGAGGAACGTTTTGATTTTGTTAGCGATGTAAAATAACACAAACAACACAAAATAATTGGAATTTTAATTATGGTTGTGAAAGTCGAGTCTCACAAGAAATGGTCAGCTTCGGCGATTATCCGGGAGAATTGAGACTCTAATCTGGAGACCGGGAGATACRGTCCAAAATCTGGAGACTCCCGGTTTATCCGGGAGAGTTGACAGCCCTGACTTGGAACTATTATTYGTGGTCAGTGAATGGAACTGCACTGAAATGGAGTATTCCAAAATAATAATTTAGAAAATAATGGCACAATTTTGTGACTAAGTCATAAAATGATTTTGTGCATTTTTCTTTATTTTTCATTTGAAATATCTATGGCTAGAAAATGGGATCACTGTCCATACTTAAAGTCAATTTTGTCTGAGCAGACAATTCCAAAATCCTTTCCCTAAATGAAATAGGAAAATGCGAGGTTTGGGTAGCCTGTGTACGCATGGCAATTCTAAAAATGAAAAACATGACGTAATGTTTTTAGCGAAAGTGTGTGGGGTGGCCCGTGAAGTGAGATGTTATTCAGGGGTGTGTGGTCACGCGGCCATTGTCAATGAACCTTTGGAACTAGTCTGAAATACCAAGAAGAATTTCAAAATAACTCAAAACTTCAAGCTTTTTACAAACCCAATTCCACATAACAGGTACGTAGATTATATTTCGATTCCACTGGCTCGAGATTTTGTCGTTGTAGGAGCGAGAAGTTTGTTTTTAAGCGCCGTCTCGTAGGGTTCTCTTATTACGCATTTCACATCAGTCGACGCCATCTTGTACTGGAAGAAGTAAAATCTTTCGTAATTTTGAAGAATTTTGATTGCTTCCATTACCACTATCGATGGCATTTTACAATAAATCGCCTATACAAGGTTACTGGGCGTTTTACTAGCTTGAGCTTGGGAGAAAGGAAGGAAATCTTAATCTGTTGAATGTTTGAGCAGCAAGCAGTACAGTGTATTTGAGGTCATTCGTGCTAAGAACTATATAAATTTCCATATTGATTTTCTAGCATTTTCACTTTTTTGAAGTCGTATTTCATAAAACTACTGCATTTCTTCACTAATTCATGGCAAATAGTAAGGTAAATTGTGTAGCTATTTACCAAGTTTATGAGGGTGTTTTGGTACTCGTTCCAAGTGATTGCTTCAAACACTCCAAAAATATGATTAAGCTTATATTTTTCTCAGAAAAATATATTGATTCTTTGAATGTTTCTTCCTAAGATGCCCAGGAATTTTATTTGCAATCTTTTATTTCAACAAACCAGTCATTACTATTATTTCTCTTATATTTTAACCCGTTTTGAACAAGTTCAATTTTATGTTTTTCTTAATTTAAATATTACGTAGGTCTATTAAAGCTTGTATTGCTTCCTTCTCTGTCTAGCTATCGAAATATGAAAGTATATATTAAATTGCCTCATTTCAGTAGTTATTTAATCACCTCAGTGCTTATTTGCCAAACAGTGTGTATTAGATATTCCATGTGATTATGACAAAATTTCAGCAAAACTGTATCGTTACATACTGCAACATAGCTTAGAAGATTATCTTTTATATTTCCTGGAAGTGTCATTTTGTTTGTTGATCAAATTAAATCCCTAAATTTTCTTCTCTTGCTCTTTCTCCATTTCCCTTTTGTTTTGTTTTTCACTTCAAACTCTTCGTGTTTGTAAAGTAAATTCATTAAATATTTCCTGGATATGTAATGACAATAATGTTATAGCCATTTAGATGTTTAATGATATTTCTATACTACTTCTAATGTGATTCGTTTAACCTTTTTTCATTTTCAAATTCTTATGCCTGMAGAAGTCTGTATAAGTAAAATATAATTTTGGAAACAGGAAATTAAAAAAATGTAGAATTTTGCTGGAGTATTCATAATATTATTGTCATCATGCCATTTGCTTATTTACATATAAATGATGCTTCTAATGAGTCTTATAATAAACAATTTGGTTCAAAAGATGTTATGATTTACATTTCTTTATTGATGTATTAGTTATAATCAAGATATGTTTGTGTAACAGTTACACATAAGTTAGAGGAAGGATAAAAATGCAGCATTTTTTCATTTACTGCATGAAATGGATAAAAAAAAGAACATTGGAAGAATTATTCCTGAAAATTATTGATTTAACTGTAAAATATAGCTAATATATTGGATGTCAAATCTATGTCAAATATTTACCAGCCATTTTTTTCGTTAGCACAGGCTCGGCAACTTCTGTTAATCATTGACTTTTTTTTATGACTACAGATTTACTGTACAGTACATATAGTRATTTCTATTTACCCCTCAACAGTGCTTAAAATAATGGCCAGACATCGGATAATGTTTGGCCAATCAAATCTTTGCCTTGCGGTCATTTTGGCCAGTAAAGTTGAGCCGGAAACTAGGCCTGACCAAGCTAAAACTAATTTGGCCAGTCATCATGACTTGCGAATTACTGGCTCTTATTTTAATCCCTGCTGAAGGTAGATATTATGCCTGAAAAGCTATTGGAATACTTTTGGAATAGAATACCAATGTGTTTACATAATAGAATTGAAGAAATAGAAATGTGCGCACTTCCTGTGTGGAGTTATAAAGCATGTGGAGGATGACAGAAGGAGAAGCACAATGCATTTAGCAGAGTGTTCCTCGACACTTCTCAAGATTAGTGTTCTGGCAATCCCCAAGTGCTTTATAGCTCCACACAGCACAGCAAGATTTTTATTTCTTTTATGAAATACAAATTATAACCATAAGAACTTTTCTTATTTGGTGCTGGATCTAACAAGAACCAGTGCAAAATAAGAGAAAATGCATTGGGATTTTCAGAGCTTAAATGCTTAGAGTCTCCATTTCCACAGCTCTATTAACCTTAAATTTGGCAGATGTGTAGGCAATTTTGATTTCTCTTGAAATGCTGACATTCCAAAACTGAATTGGAAATTTTGAAATTTGATGTCATCACACTTTGGTATTCTAAATGGCCTTATGTACAAGGCTGTCACTAAACTATCGACRAAACTCTTCTATTATTTTTAGTGTGCTCATATTGTTTTAACTTAACTTGTACTGAAATGTTTCATTCCTTGTTATCAGGTCAGTGTTTAAAAAGGCCAAAGGTCTGGCCAATTACCTCTTCACTAATCACATTGACTTTGAGGATTCATTTGTATTTTTATTACCTTGCGTTAGTTATAGAAGAGACAGTACAAGCAAGATCAAGTGTCTGCTGATATACGGCAGGACACCCTCTTTAAATTTTGTTAAGATATGGCATCTAGGGGAACAGCACAACGACCAAATGGAGCAGCAGTGGGAAAGATATGTCAGTTTAAACTGGTATTATTAGGTGAGTTTTTTCTGTAAAAAAAAGCATTTACTGTGCTATGTTCCATACAGATAACATTTTGACATGTTTTTTTAATTTCTTTTTGAAACTTTGTATTGTGCTTTTTACCGCTAACCCAGGGTTTGAGCCAGGCTGCACCATTGTGCCATTCCWGCTTTCAAAACATATTTGTCCCCTTAAAGATTATGATAAGGGTCAGATTGTCCCCATTCCAAAGGGAGGGGAAATGATTGTGCCCTATTTTTACGTGTTAAATCCATGAGTGTAATGCTACAAACTTGGCAATTTCTGATTATTGGTCTAGCAAGACTGAGGTGAGCAGAAAGGAGCCTGGGGTGAGTCACATGGTTTGCACAGCTATTTGTTTGTATCCAGTCATGTTGTTATGTCAAAAAGGAAAAGAATACAGTACAGCCCAGATGTATGTCACGGTAACATGCGTGTAAGACGCGTGCACACCGTTAACGAGTACACTCATACTAGTGTAGTTCGTCCATCAGCGTGTAGTACACTCTAAAAACTTGGCAAAATTACACGCAGCCCAATAGCTCATTAACTTCAGTATGATTCCYGAGGGATTCGTAATGTATTTGTTGATCGCTGAATAGGCGATAACACAGATGTTTTTCTTTTCCTGCRTAAAACACTTCTGATGTTTTGACTCAACGTGTGGCATGTAGCATGATATCATATTCTTTTAACGTTAAAATTTGTGGCTCCTCTAGCAACATCTAAATTTTCATAAAAAGAATATTGAAACTKAAAAAAAATTTCAAGCGTAATTTGCCGTGGTGCGCGCTGGCTCCAGTTCAATAATCAAACTGTTAAGCCCCATTTACACTAGCGAGTTTTACGGCAATTTTTGCTGCGATTTTTCAGCGATTTTGTCCATACCGTAAATCCTCTATTTAGCACCCCCTCTCTAATAAGCCCCCTTTTTTAAAGGAAGAAATTTGTTAAGCCCCCCCTCTCT